TTCTCTCTTACCATACCGTATAAAACGATATATATCAAGGAGTTCTCTCGTTTAAAATATTCAGGAGACGGATCAGGTAGGGACGTAAAAAGGTGGGTAAATAAGGGTAAAAGTTGTTAACAAATTGGTGTTTGTGCAGTGCGATATGGAGAAATCAAACATGTAAAACTACATGTCAGGCACAATGTTAACGACTTTGTCATTATTCTTACATTATACTCTCATTTAACCCCCTAAAACATGCCTCCTGATTTAACGGTTTTTTGAGCGTATACTATGAAGTATTACCATTAATGGGACACATATCCTTGAATATCCTGCCGTGTGGTCTACCGTAGGCTTAGCGATGTGAGTGCAGCCTTGGCTATTGAAATTACCGATGCATGGCAGGGACATATCTTTATTTAGATAAAGAAGATGTGCAATTCTCCGAGAAGTCAACTGTCATTTCCCAGGAAACATATTCTCCAAGGACAACCAAGGATACAGTTTCCATTGTTTACAGGATACCAGTCACACCAACCTTTGCATTTCAAACAAAAGCAACAATGTATACAATGGGATCAGTGCGGATCATGTGTAGCTGCTTCAGAGAAACGTATTATGTATCCAACGCTTAGATCTAATTCTATGAAACGCTGAATGCATTTATACTGTTATTAGTGGAAACTTCTTTTTTTGGTTTTTTATTGCAGTGCACCTTGGTTACAGTTACAGAAGGTAGCTATATTCATGGACAGAGTAACTGTTAGCTTTTATAAAGAACAATTTCATTTACAAAGCTGCATTTGATGATGTTACAAGTAGTAGTCGTAACAGGAAAGAATATGTTATGCATATGTTTGTGTCGTCAGTAGTATACATAAAAACACCGAGGCTTTTTAAGCCTTAGGGGATGCAACAACAAGTCATAATCCCTTTGGTAGAATGCTGTATTAGTACATTTAGTAGTGCATTTACCTGATCCATTTCTAGTGGGGCGGCGGGGTAGCCTAGTGGTTAAAGCGTTGGCTCGTCACGCCGAGGACCCGGGTTCGAATCCCCACAAGGGTACAATGTGTGAAGCCCATTTCTGGTGTTCCCCGCCGTGATGTTGCTGGAATCTTGGTGAAAGCGGCGTAAAACTCAGTCTGTCAGTCAGTCCTTTTCCAATACAGAGTGAGAATACATTCACAAAGCGATAAATGTACAGATGTCCGATAGTGGTATATCAATGTCCATGAAGGTTAATGCCGCTGTGCCATCACCTGATACATTCATAGTATTGTACGAGTACAAAGAGAAAAACAGTCACATTGCAATAAGTATCACATATGTCAAGTAGTGGTAGCAGGTATATCAATGGTTTTCAAAGGTTAGTGTGGTTAATACGGTTACCTGATGGATTTATAGTACTTGTCAAGTACGGAGAGAATGGATGTCTCATTTCACAAGTAACACATATTAATGAGTTCAGAGAAGCTGGGTATCCTATGCGGGTGGATCGAAGTTTAAAACAAACATGTGTTGAGAGGGTCAAGTGTTAGATGACAAGAACTGATGCACTCGTTCAAAACAATTGGTTTTGTTTTTTCTGTCGTTGATAGTGGGTGCCATCATTTTGACTCACAATGGGGATTTGGTCCAGATTAATATTTAAACAACATGCTGTGTCTATCTTTTTTGATCTAGAAAAAGCATATGACACTACGTGGAAATATGGCATTTTAAAAGATTTAATTAGCTTTGGATTGCGAGGCCGCTTGCCTCAATTTATAGCCAACTTTTTAAATGACAGACAATTTCAAGTCCGCGCGGGTTCTACCCTGTCTGCTCATTACAATCAGGATCAGGGTGTCCCACAAGGCAGTATTTTGTCTGTCACTGTATTTAGCATTAAGATCAACAGTTTATCAAAGGTTTTAACCGATTCATTTGATGGATCACTTTTTGTGGATGATTTTATTTTTTCTTGTCGCGGTAAGAATATGCATACTATTGAACGGCAACTGCAGCTGTGTTTAAATAAAATAGATAAATGGTATCTTGAAAACGGTTTTAAATTTTCTAAATCCAAAACTAATTGTATACATTTTTGTAGAAAATATAAACTGAATAAGAACCCGGAAATGTTTCTCAATGGCACTCCCATCAAAGTTGTAAAGGAGGCCAAGTTCTTGGGTTTAATTTTTGACTCTCATTTAACGTTTCTGCCGCATATTAAATCCTTTAAAACTAAATGCTTGAAGGCACTTGACTTGTTGAAAGTTGTTTCAAATTCTTAGTGGGGAGGGGATAAAGCCACTCTCCTACACACATATCGATCATTGGTCCGCTCGAAACTTGATTATGGCTCCATCGTATATGGTTGAGCCTGCAACAGCAACTTAAAACTTTTAGATTCTGCCTATCACCAAGGTCTTAGACTTTGTCTTGGATCCTTTAGGACTTCTCCTGTTGACAGTCTCTACGTCGAGGCAGATGAATCATCTCTTACACTTCGCCGTATAAAATTGTCCTTGCAGTATATAACAAAACTTTATTCTAACGAGTCTAATCCTGCATTTAACTGTGTCTTTTATCCTCTTTATGAGGATTTGTACAACGAAAAGCCTTCTCTTGTTCCACCTCTTGGTTTAAGAATTAAACCATCTGTGTGAGGCTAGAGGGCGAGGACTTTGATTGTTGTGGATGTCTTGTGTCATATTCAAATATTCTATTGTTTTTGGGTTTCTCTCTCTCTCTATATATATATATATATCGCTCGCTCTCTCTCTCTCTCACTCTCACTCTCACTCTCTCTCTCTGTTTTGTCTTTCATAATTTCATACTACCATTGTGATAATTTTTTACTTTTTATAACAAAATAGATACATTATAAATGCGGCAAGTATACAAATGAGGCTTCAAATCATTTGTATTTCTCTTTCAAAGTCATTGGATGCTGCCTGCGGCAGGATGAAGTACATTGCAGTAAACATAACGCGGCGTACTAAAGTACTCTCGAAAATAGAAAAACATGTTTTATCGCATTTATAAGTGCAGTTTATATAGGTAATATGTTACAGTATGAAATATCTGTTAAACTACGTTCGGCCTAACTACAGTCTCTCTGGCAGGGAGATAGGAAACGAAGACAAAAGGACTTTACTGAGGAGAGATTAGTGCAGAAGTGAGTAATGCGGGGATTTTTAACAGACCATGGCTTTATGCAAAATTAGTGTGCGATGATATTGTATTACAAAGGACACTTGTTAAATGCCCTTAGCTCAATTATAAATGATAACTGACGTACAAAATAATAACTTTAATACTAAAACTATTGAGGATGTAGCTACCACGGAGTCTCACTATCACTATGAAAAGAAACAGGTAGGAGGGGTCGCCTCAAAAGCAAAACCAGGACGGGTGTTGCAGACGGTGGTTGGGGTCGCGCTGGGGGATTGAGATATCAGCTGAGATAAGATTTTCTTTAGGGGAAGTAAACTGGGGAAGTAAACGGCATGTCATAGCAATTTACAAATAGAAGCCAGTCCTGTCGAACTTCGGGTGTTCATGTCACATTTAGACATTTTATGCGATGGCTGATTAAAGCTTTTCTATGGCTATCACACCCTTTTACATATCTCAACATAAACATTATGAAAGAAAGACACGTAAGATGTTAATCAATAGATGAGACATCTTCAACACGCATGAAAAAGAATGACATATCGTTGAGATGACCCATTGTGCCTGTAGGCATGACACGCATTTCATGCAAGGTGAGTCGACGGTCCATCTTAGTCCATCGTCATACCCGGTTGAGAGACCTAATTGCCATCTATAGTCTGATCTATTGTTTTCAGCAGCTACTCGTAATTTTTCTGGGTTTTGCCCGATTTTACGAGTAAATATGACTTTCTAGATATCCTATTACGCATCCCACTGAACGCCCAGTTAGGCCGATGTCGGTTATTTCGACATATGCTATATGCAATTGTGTAAATTTTAAGGATACAAACTAACAGACTAAAAACATTTGTTGTTTTTTTCTTTTTCCGACAGTACTTTAGCATATAAGTACGTCCATCTGTACAGGTAAACTTCAGTGGTGGGTGATGCCGGTAGGACAAGACCTGTTTACCCTTCTTAACGAACACATGCCATATTGTAATGAACAATAGCCTACAAGCATCACTCACATGCAGCCACTGTAGTCGACACCTATTTTGCCTTTTGCACCCAGATTATCACCGTCGGATCATGGAGACGATACACGGAAGCGTAGTAGGCCCCTGGTGAAAATTGTTTAAGTTTCATTATCTCCTACGTAGGTCATAGTATCTCCTACGTAGGACTTAGTATCTCCTACGTAGAAATTATTAAGTCCTACGTAGGGCAGATGTTGCAGTTAGGTACTCTACATTACACCTATATACTTAGTTGATTCCAGTCGTCCTTGTTCCCACCACCCACTTAACGCTGAACTGACGTAGCGCCAACAAATGACGGAACAGCACTAACATTCCGTCCAGTTTATAAAGAGGTATGCATGCTCCATAATAAGGGGCCATTGAAATAATTATTAGCGAAAGTTGTACATGCGAGGGCAGGAACAGCGCGTCTGAACTGTCCCACTTTGTCTACAGCAATGTCTCATCACAACCGCTGCCACTGAGGTCTCAACCTTCTCGTCTTTGAGCATGACGTAGCACCGAACGTCAGCCATCATTGCAGATAACAATAAAGTACTAACAAAACTTTCCCAAATGTTATCACAATATGACAAATGAGGGATAGGTGACGAGTTCTTAGTTAAACTACCAACATACAGTGGTAACTGAGTGAATGCTGTTTCTGGGCGCAAACAGCAATATTCACTTTACTGTTGCCTGACAATATTATTGTCAAAGAAACACCAAGTGCCATGCAAGCCCCAAGACACCACACAAAAACTAACAACTCCATATATTTCTAATTGTCACCAATCAAGCTTGAAAAGACAACAGGGCTGATTAAAAAAGTGATACTTTCGTTTATGAGAAATGAGTACTTTTTATTAAAAACAAAACATCATTTGATGATGATAGGATGCATAATAATACTTTGTATGATTAAAACAAATATTACTTTGATGTGATGAATGACATTCAATATCACTTAATACTCTGGTACTTTCAGAGTTCATGTTTCATGCCATGCACACTGTTAAAAGTTTAAACAGAGTCAACCCGAAATGTGACCATCAATGAAGTAGTCAACTGGATTATTTCGAACTTTTTTCCAGAATTGTTTTTATCTTCATTTTATCAAGAGGTGACGTAATACCTAGCGCATCCAAAACGCCGTCTTCCAAAAGGTTCACGAAGTATTTGCCATCAATGCCGTTTTCCTCAATTTTCTTCCGTACTGATTCAGGAAAACGTTCTCTTATCATCAGATTCTGAACGTCTTCGACTGTCATCAGCTCGATGTCTGGACCTGGAAATGGGACCAAATGTTTCCAAATGCACATATTCGTTCAAAATTTGTCAAGCATAAAAATCAGTTGGATGGATGGATGGATGGATGGATGGATGCATTCATGCCTGTATGAGTGTATGTATGTGTGTTCGTGCGTGCGTTCGTGCGTGCATACTTGTGTGTGTGTAATTAAGCCATCACAGGGTACGCTGACATGCTATTAACTAAATGGGGGTAAATGGGAGATAACTACACTGTGATCATTTCTGTAAGACCACTAAAAATAATTTCTTGTTTGTCATTTTATATTGCTTTTTTAATTTTTATACAACTTCTCTGCCCGAAAGGTGATGTATTAAATGCTTTGATCACTCATTATATTTATGAGTTTGATGCCAATGAAGTTAAGTTCTGATAAATTTCGGAAACTTAATTTAGGGGATAACTGTACTCTGTTTAACGGATTGGGGAGGTATACCGGTGGTTATATAGCCGAAAATTTAGTTATATCGGCGACGCGTAAACAGTAATTAGAAATGAGCGGGCCGCTGCAAATGACAATGGCCCGCTGATTCCTCAACGACGGGCCATTATCAGGTGTGTTGTCCAATGAGGCCACAGCAAGTGACGTCACGGTCCATAATGACGTCATAAATCTTGTTACATGATCTAACAGTGTTGGGTCAACAGCCCGTTGCGAGTTGTTTGAAGTAAACTTACAATATAATAATTTATGATGCTGTTTTGTATTTTTACATCCATGTTAGCGGAATAGGGGAGTCAACAGGCAGAAGGCTTTTGCAAATGATAATGCCCTGAAAAACAGCGTTACCCTAATAGTGTAAGCATACATTCAAAGGTTTTGGTGAATCGGTTTTCAAATTGCGACCGTATATGCTGATTAAACATATTATGATCAGATCTCATTTAATAATAGGGGTACATGTATGTGATGTGTGTAAGTATGTGATGTGTGCATGTATATAATGTGTGCATGTATTAATGTGTGTACGTATGTATGTATATGTGTGTGTATGTGTATGTATGTCAGTGTATATATATATATATTTGTAGGTATGTTTGCGCGTGCGTGTGTGCGTGTGAAGGGGCGAGCGCGTCTTAGTGTATGTAGGTGTCTTCTGTTCACGTGTACAGACAAGGTCAACATTGTAAACTTTCAAAGTAGTGTATATATTATTCCCTGAGGTGGCAATATCATAGGAATCTGTCAGGGAGACGTCTTACCTCTTGTGCCTCTAGTCGGGCCACCGACTGAAGCAGACATAGCCCCGCTGTGGTTGTCACCTGTGGCGATATTACCTATATTACCCTTGTTTTTGATGCTTCGACTTCCTGGAATGACAGAAGTTAAATTGTATTAATACAGCGTTGGGATGGAATATGATTATTAGTACTTTAAGTATTCACATATACCTTTCTACGGGATCATTAGCCAGATATGATTAACACATGGTTGTGATATTTGGATCACATAATGAGCTGTCTGTTGTAACAAAGATTAGGATTCTGAAAAGCATTTGCACTTTTGTTGATAATATCCAATAAGTAAAGTATAAATGGCAGCATCTTTCAACAGAATACACAAGGAAATGCTACCTTTCATTAACTGAAAATAAAATATATGCAGAATATCATATTATTATTGCATTTGAACTTAAATACTAATTATTGAAGAATGTATTTCCAAATAAAGACTACATGTCTTGTCATATATCACCTTATCGATATGTTTAATCATACAGACCTAATCAAGAAACATCTCAGTGACCACATGAATATGAGACAAACACTCTTGACACATAAACTAATTTAGAGATCATGAGTACAGTATGAGTTGACAACCTTGGTTGTGAGTGGTCGTGACGTTATGACCCATCCCGTCGTGGACGATACCAGCAGCATTGGGCCGTTCCACTGTGCCTCCTGCCACTCCAGTGACCTTTATGTCTTGGTTGGACATTTTGTAACCTGACTGAAACATGAAAAGCAATAGGACAAATTCACCTGGTAGACATTAGAGCCTGTTTCCATCATGACATTTCATCTTCTGGCTTTCAAGGACTGACTTTGACACTAATCATTACGAAAACCGGAATTAATACCATTTTCATTCTATACTTCCCCTCAAAAGTTTAGACTCACTAGTGTAAATATAGCCACTTACTTCAGGCAACTGTTCTAAACTAGATCTTGCAAAATATCCCACACTGTTACTGTTTACACATGAACTTATGTATTGTAAAACAAATTTGTAACGTTGAAAAGATTTTTTCCATGAGTTCAATAAATGATAAAAATCAGTGAAAATTGGCGAATGCTTAACAAAACTTTACGTAAAAACGCAACTGTTCACATGCACGATATTTGCACATGCTTTTCACCAATTTGATGCATGATCCTCGTACAATTCATCTGCATAAGGTTTGCAGTTGGTTACCCCAAGTTAGTTGAGAAATCAATCTTCGATGTAACCTTACATATATGCATAACATATAGTGAGTGTTTTCAGTGAGTCTAAACTTTTGATGGGAAGTATAATAAAATCAAAAGTTTGAACTGAATTCTTATCATCACTGAAATCTTCATCACATGATCCACTGGGCAAATGTTCATAAAAGTGGCGAGCATAGATGCTTCCATATCTATCTGCAAAGACTCAGAACATATTTTCAGAAATGAAAGCAAGTGTGTTATGAAGTTGTAAAATGCTAGGTGTTAAGTGAGACCGCCTCATGTGCTTCTTAATTAGATCTATGCAGATACAGAGTGGCACAAGTCTCCCCACAGAGCTGTGTGGCACGAGGAATAACTTCAACAGCTTCAGAGTACTGATGTTAATATTTCACACAGTTTGATGTGCAATCAAGCATGGCCTTTGAACCAAGTGTTTCTGAGAAATTGTTTGATCAAGGTTGAAACAGCCATGTCAGGTTTTCTGGTATACATATGGAGGGCAAATCAATAACACACCTGAACTTAATGTTCAGATCATTTTGAGGAAAGGTTTCTGTCTCTTACCATTCTCTCGCTGCTTTTCATTTACAATCGTTAGTTTTTACAGCAACGAACAATTAACCTTCTGACAAGGGATTTTCAAATATCTAAAAATACCACCTAATGTACTTCCTTCAGATTCCTCCATACTCCTGCTTATTGCAGTTCTTCGATTTGTGATATATGGTGTCTACAACAGTAACCTTTTTTCTGAATGTGTTTCGGTTTTTAATTCAAACATTTTTTAATAATATATTTTCTTTACAGTTTACGGCTTCAAATATAACTTTTGACAATATGCAAAACGACTTGTTCTATTTTGTTCATTGCGTTTTAGCTTTAAACAACAAGAACGCCCAACTGTAATACACTTGCATCTAGCCTATTCATAAAATGCACATTTATTCGGGTATAGAAAGATTGTAAATAATGTGTTCTATTAAGAATATTGCTCTCTTTGCTTTGAATAATAAGAACCGTAATACACTTACATCTAGCCTATTCATAAAATAACATGAGTGCAACACAGGATCAGATTCGTTATTATTTTAAAATCGCTTATTTACATTTATGATATAACATAGAATCGGCAATGAAGGTTTTCTATACAAATTAGATACAATGCTTTAACAATCGTATGAAAGAAAATTCGTTTCTTGTGTCACACATTATAAGTTGTAGTAGGTCATAAGATAGCGAAACAAACCTACCTTGATGCCTATGGCCGTTCGTGTTATGGACCTTTCTAGCGCCTACCCTTCGTTAAATACCATTACATAGTGACATAGATCTATTTATGGTCATATTCCCGGAGAATCCAAGTGACGTCATGACAGGCCTTTACCTTACTATTGGTTGATTATTTATAGATAATAGGAACGATTTTAGGTTTCTTTTTCCGAGAAAAGGTATGGTTATCTGGGTTGATATCAGACTCACACGTGATATTGAATAGCACACGTTCTGTGTGAACCTGTACATACATTGTGTGCACCTGATCCGGGTGATAAGATCACCTCATGTGCAGTAAATGGAATATTTATTGTCAAGGGTGGAAATGGGTTTACATCAAGGTGAAGCCTTCGTCGCAGTAAGATAACCGAAGTTAAATACTTTGGTTTATTCGTACAACATGTTTGTAGAAGGTAAAGAGAGTTGGTTCCTATAGAGGTTCACCGAAGATTTAAATTATAAATAAAATTAAATAGTAACGATGGTACACTCATTCAAATATTTTTGTTGAACATTTTATGTGCTTGCTCCCTGCAGGATCTGTTTCTGTGGACTTTTTTCTAGCGTTACGTCTTTCTGTTTTGTATAATAATTATATCAAAGTAGTTAGTTATCATGACAATTTTGGACGTAAATTTATCATTCCTTACTGCTAAAGAGTTGGCTACTTTAATATTGTGGGAAGAAACATAAACAAATTTCAGGTATTTTTAAAAGTGGGGTCTCTGGGAGCGCTCATGTGTGTGTGTGCGTGCGCGTTCGCAGGAATGAGTTCAATTTTCAGTCAGTTTATGGCATGTCATTGATTTATCACCAATTCTTAGAACGGATATCATTAAATCATATCACAGCATTACCATTACCATTTTGCATCGAGGTATGATATACATTTACTATACATACTCAGTTCTCAGTTCGCAGTACTATACAGTTAGTTGGATATTAATGACGACGGTAAAGATGCTGCTTTTACTTCATTCAATAAAGAACACATTTGATTGTGTGGCTTCAAATACTGTGTTTATTACATCAACAGGACATGTAATGACCGAATGCTAAATGTACTAGTTATGATCAGGTGAGAAAGAAGGACTCTGAGGACCAATGCAAGGTACGTATTATAGCATTGACAACATTTACATGAACAGGGCATTACACATGATCTCCAGTCGAGGTGAGTGAACAGATGTACTATTTCGGAAGACATTTCTTCAGATTCAGTATTTTCTTCCTTTCAAAGGATTCGCCAATCCTGAAATCTATAAGTTCACCATCTGAGAGCTGAAACAATAGATCCCCATCAATACGATGTTCATGGGTCAGTGGAATGTGTTTTGCTATGTTCTTCTCCCGCAGAAGACCAACAATGTCTTCTTCAGTGACGTCAGAAAGCTCTGAAAATGTAACCACATGTGTAAATTATTTCCTAATTGAGACCATATTAACCAACACAATGTTTGCTTAGGTCGAAGTTTCATTGTTGGTGTCAAGGTTTGTTTCGATAGTTTTATTAATATGCATGTACATATACATGATCTTTTTTTAGTTTCAATATATAAGTGTGCATAATTGCAATTGCAAAACGTTCGAGTCTTTAATTTAGTATGATACACGCATAGTTCATATTAATCTGTTGGCACCTAACGCAGTATTGATCATGGAAGAAAAGAATATATAGAATATAAGTTACGTACTGAAAAGCGAATTGACTGGAAATTTACCTTTACCTCTGAAGTATCCAATGTGTCCTGATCTTCCCTTCGTGACCCCTTTCTGATCCACTACTACACGGATTATAGTCAAAAGGGCCGAAAGACAAAAGGGCCGAAAAAAAGAGTCAAAAGGGCCGAGGCTAAAAGTCAAATAGGCCGAAATGAAAAGTCAAAAAGGCCGAAAAAAGGGCCGAAAATAAAATAAAATTTAATAAATGATAATTTAATAAATTACGTAGTAAAATAGTATGAATAGTGTTGAGTTTGTTGTTTTTGTTTATTTTCAATGGAATTTGAACATGAGACTCAGTGTCATGACTAATCCGTGTGGATACACCTTACTGGCTGTACTGAATCTCATTATCCGTAGCTCGATTTGCACTGTAAGCAGATGAATATTGGACAAGTATCGGCTTCAGATGCCAGGAATAGGATGTCACCAGGAGCCGTGTCACTAAACTTCGTGCTTGAAGTATATTTAGTTCAACAATTGTCAATAGAAGTACATACATAATGCCTATGACATCGTTATGAGTGCTTTGATTCATTCCTGTTTTACCTAATAATAATTAATAATTGGTGTTTGCATTGCAGTATGATATTGAGAAATCAAACATGCAAAACTACGTGTCAGAGACAATCTTAACGACTTTATAGTTATTCGTACATTATATCCACATTAAACCTCTTAATAAATGCTTCATGATATAGCGGACTAGTATTACTTTTAGTGGGACAAATATCCTTGACGTGTGGTCTACTGTAGGTTTCGCAATGTGAGTGCAGCCTTTGCTATTGAAATTATCGATGTATGACAAGGACATATATTTACTTTGAGGACGTAGATCTAAAATTACAATTCTCCGGGAAGGCAAGTGCCATATACAGGAAAACTTTACCTCCAACAACAACCGCGGAAAAAGTTTCCATTGTTTACAAGATACCATTCACACCAATGTATTCAATGGGATCAATACATGTGTAGCTGGTTCTGAGAAGTGTATTATGTATCCAGTACTTTGATCTAACTCCATGAAACACTGAATTCATTTATACTCATGTTTGTGGAAACTAATTATAGAGTCTAGGGTTTGGTGTGGATCAGTGCCACGTGGTTGATAACAAGATCTGATGCACCAGTAACTCTGTGTGTTACATTACACGGGTGCTCATATGCAGTCATGGGTTCACATGAAGTATGGACTTTCCATTTCACACGAAGCATATATTAATGAGTTCTGAGAAGCTGGGTATTCGTTGCGCTGACTCAATTCTAGGAAACTTTAAATGAGTGGCTTCTGTTATCAGATTATAATTATGTAATACGTCCGTGTTTTGGATGAATCGATTTGCAGGACAGACATGCGTAGAGGAGGTCAAGTGTTAGATAACAAGAACTGGTGCACTCGTTCAAACTTACAACAGCAGTCATTGAATTCACTATGTGTTTTCCGTCTGTGTGAGGCTAGAGGGCGAGGACTTTGATTGTTGTGGATGTCATATTCAAATATTCTATTGTTTTTGGGTTTCTCTCTCCATATATATATATATATATCGCTCGCTCTCTCTCTCTCTCTCTCACTCTCACTCTCACTCTCTCTCTCTGTTTTGTCTTTCATACTTTCATACTACCATTATGATAATTATTTACTTTTTATAACAAAATACATACATTATAAATGCGGCAAGTATACAAATGAGGCTTCAAATCATTTGTATTTCTCTTTCAAAGTCTGCGGCAGGATGAAGTACATTGCAGTAAACATAACGCGGCGTACTAAAGTACTCTCGGAAATAGAAAAACATGTTTTATCGCATTTATAAGTTCAGTTTATATAGGTAATATGTTACAGTATGAAATATCTGTTAAACTACGTTCGGCCTAACTACAGTCTCTCTAGGAGGGAGATAGGAAACGAAGACAAAAGGACTTTACTGAGGAGAGATTAGTGCAGAAGTGAGTAATGCGGGGATTTTTAACAGACCATGGCATTATGCAAAATTAGTGTGCGATGATATTGTATTACAAAGGACACTTGTTAAATGCCCTTAGCTCAATTATAAATGATAACTGACGTACAAAATAATAACTTTAATACTGAAACTATTGAGGATGTAGCTACCACGGAGTCTCACTATCACTATAAAAAGAGAACAGGTAGGAGGGTCGCCTCAAATGCAAAACCAGGACGGGTGTTGCAGACGGTGGTTGGGGTCGAGCTGGGGGATTGAGATATCAGCTGAGATAAGATTTTCTTTAGGGGAATTAAACTGGGGAAGTAAACGGCATGTCATAGCAATTTACAAATAAAAGCCAGTCCTGTCGAACTTCGGGTGTTCATGTCACATTTAGACATTTTATGTGATGGCTGATTAAAGCTTTTCTATGGGTATCAGACCCTTTTACATATCTCAACATAAACATTATGAAAGAAAGACACGTAAGATGTTAATCAATAGATGAGACATATTCAACACGCATGAAAAAGAATGACATATCGTTGAGATGACCCTTTGTGCCTGTAGACAGGACACGCGTTTCATGCAAGGTGAGTCGACGGTCCATCTTAGTCCATCGTCATACCCGGTTGAGAGACCTAATTGCCATCTATAGTCTGATCTATTGTTTTCAGCAGCTATTCGTAATTTTTCTTGGTTTTGCCCGATTTTACGAGTAAACATGACTTTCTAGATATCCTATTACGCATCCCACTGAACGCCCAGTTAGGCCGATGTCGGTTATTTCGACATATGCTATATGCAATTGTGTAAATTTTAAGGATACAAACTAACAGACTAAAAACATTTGTTGTTTTTTTCGATTTCCGACAGTACTTTATCATATAAGTACGTCCATCTGTACAGGTAAACTTCAGTGGTGGGTGATGCCGGTAGGACAAGACCTGTTTACCCTTCTTAACGAACACATGCCATATTGTAATGAACAATAGCCTACAAGCATCACTCAAATGCAGCCACTGTAGTCGTCACAACTTGCCCATTTGCCCTTTGACCATGATGCCCCATTTACCATGTAGTGAAAAGTTCACGGCACGCTCAAAAAGCATTACTTCGACCCCGGACAACACCAGTGGCATGTGCAGCAGCTACAGCAGAATGTCAGTGAATTTCAGTGATCTGTTCGACACCTATTTTGCCTTTTGCACCCAGATTATCACCGTCGGATCATGGAGACGATACACGGAAGCGTAGTAGGCCCCTGGTGAAAATTGTTTAAGTTTCATTATCTCCTACGTAGGTCATAGTATCTCCTACGTAGGACTTAGTATCTCCTACGTAGAAATTATTAAGTCCTACGTAGGGCAGATGTTGCAGTTAGGTACTTTACATTACACCTATATACTTAGTTGATTCCAGTCGTCCTTGTTCCCACCACCCACTTAACGCTGAACTGACGTAGCGCCAACAAATGACGGAACAGCACTAACATTCCGTCCAGTTTATAAAGAGGTATGCATGCTCCATAATAAGGGGCCATTGAAATAATTATTAGCGAAAGTTGTGCATGCGAGGGCAGGAACAGCGCGTCTGAACTGTCCCACTTTGCCTACAGCAATGTCTCATCACAACCGCTGCCACTGAGGTCTCAACCTTCTCGTCTTTGAGCATGACGTAGCACCGAACGTCAGCCATCATTGCAGATAACAATAAAGTACTAACAAAGCTTTCCCAAATGTTATCACAATATGACAAATGAGGGATAGGTGACGAGTTCTTAGCTAAACTACCAACATACAGTGGTAACTGAGTGAATGCTGTTTCTGGGCGCAAACAGCAATATTCACTTTACTGTTGCCTGACAATATTATTGTCAAAGAAACACCAAGTGCCATGCAAGCCCCAAGACACCACACAAAAACTAACAAATCCATATATTTCTAATTGTCACCAATCAAGCTTGAAAAGACAACAGGGCTGATTAAAAAGTGATACTTTCGTTTATGAGAAATGAGTACTTTTTATTAAAAACAAAACATCATTTGATGATGATAGGATGCATAATAATACTTTGTATGATTAAAACAAATATTACTTTGATGTGATGAATGACATTCAATATAACTTAATACTCTGCTGCTTTCAGAGTTCATGTTCCATGCCATGCACACTGTTAAAAGTTTAAACAGAGTCAACCCGAAATGTGACCATCAATGAAGTAGTCAACTGGTTTATTATTTCGAACTTTTTTCCAGAATTGTTTCCATCTTCATTTTATCAAGAGGTGACGTAATACCTAGCGCATCCAAAACACCGTCTTCCAAAAGGTTCACGAAGTATTTGCCGTCAATGCCGTTTTCCTCAAATTTCTTCCGTACTGATTCAGGAAAACGTTCTCTTATCATCAGATTCTGAACGTCTTCGACTGTCATCAGCTCGATGTCTGGACCTGGAAATGGGACCAAATGTTTCCAAATGCACATATTCGTTCAAAATTTGTCAAGCATAAAAATCAGTTGGATGGATGGATGGATGGATGGATGGATGGATGCATTCATGCCTGTATGAGTGTATGTATGTGTGTTCGTGCGTGCGTTCGTGCGTGCATACTTGTGTGTGTGTAATTAAACTATCACAGGGTACGCTGACATGCTATTGACTAAATGGGGGTAAATGGGAGATAACTACAGTTATCATTTCTGTAAGACCACTAAAAATAATTTCTTGTTTGTCATTTTATATTGCTTTTTTAATTTTTAAACAACTTCTCTGCCCGAAAGGTGATGTATTAAATGCTTTGATCACTCATTATATTTATGAGTTTGATGCCAATGAATTTAAGTTCTGATAAATTTGGGAAACTTAATTAAGGGGATAACTGTACTCTGTTTAACGGATTGGGGAGGTATACCTGTGGTTATATAGCCGAAAATTTAGTTATATCGGCGACGCGTAAACAGTAATTAGAAATGAGCGGGCCGCTGCAAATGACAATGGCCCGCTGATTCCTCAACGACGGCCATTATCAGGTGTGTTGTCCAATGAGGCCACAGCAAGTGACGTCACGCTCCATAATGACGTCATAAATCTTGTTACATGATCTAACAGTGTTGAGTCAACAGCCCGTTGCGAGTTGTTTGAAGTAAACTTACAATATAATAATTTATGACGCTGTTTTGTCTTTTTCCATCCATGTTAGCGGAATAGGGGGAGTCAACAGGCCGAAGGCTTTTGCAAATGATAATGCCCTGAAAAACAGCGTTAGCCCAGTAGTGTAGGCATACATTCAAAGGCTTTGGTGAATCGGTTTTTTTGAAATTGCGACCGTATATGCTGATTAAACATATTATGAACAGATCTCATTTAATAATAGGGGTACATGTATGTGATGTGTGTATGTATGTGATGTGTGCATGTATATAATGTGTGCATGTATTAATGTGTGTACGTATGTATGTATATGTGTGTATGTGTATGTATGTCAGTGTATATATATATATTTGTAGGTATGTTTGCGCGTGCGTGTGTATGCGTGTCAAGGGGCGAGCGCGTCTTAGTGTAAATATGTGTCTTCTGTTCACGTGTACAGACAAGGTCAACATTGTAAACTCTCAAAGTAGTGTATATATTATTCCCTGAGGTGGCAATACCATAGGAATCTGTCCGGGAGACGTCTTACCTCTAGTGCCACTAGTCGGGCCACCGACTGAAGCAGACATGGCCCCGCTGTGGTTGTCACCTGTGGCGATATTACCTATATTACACTTGTTTGTGATGCTTAGACTTCCTGAAATGAAAGAAATTAAAATTGTATTAATACAGCGTTGGGATGGAATATAATTCTTAGTACTTTAAGTATTCATATATACTTTTCTACGGGATCATTAACCAGGCATGATTAACACATGGTTGTGATATTTGGATCCTACAATGAGCTGTCTATTGTAACAAAGATTGCTCATGATTATGAAAAGCACTTGCGCTTTTGTCGATAATTATCCAATAAGTAAAGTATACTCATGTCAATAATGGTTATCATCCCCTTCAATGTTTTTAATTGGAGAGGGGGTGTGGGGTCGGGTGTAAGGTGTGCGTGGGGTTAGAGTGGGAAGGGGGCTGACAACCATTATTTGCATGAGTATATAAATGGCAGCATAATTATTGAAGAATGTATTTCCAAATAAAGACCATGTCTTGTCATATATCACCTTATCGGTATGTTTAATCGTGTAGACCTTATCAAGAAACATCTCAGTGACCACATGAATATGATACAAACACTCTTGACACATAAACTAATTTAGAGATCATGAGTACTGTATGAGTTGACAACCTTGGTTGTGGTTGGTCGTGACGTTATTACCCATCCCGCCGTGGACGATACCAGCAAAAATGGACCGTCCCACTGTGCCTCCTTCCACTCCAGTGACCTTGATGTCTTGGTTGGACATTTTGTAACCTGACTGAACAAACATGAAAAGCAATAGGTCAAATTCACCTGGTAGACATTAGAGCATGTTTCCATCATGACATTTCACCTTCTGGCTTACAAGGACGGACTTTGACACTAATCATTAGGAGAACCGGAATCAATACCATTTTGATTCTATACTTCCCCTCAAAAGTTTAGACTCACTAGTGTAAATATAGCCACTTACTTCAGGCAACTGTTCTAAACTAGATCTTGCAAAATATTCCACACTGTTACTGTTTACACATGAACTTATGTATTGTAAAACAAGTTTGTAACGTAGAAAAGATTGTTGCCATGAGTTCAATAAATGATAAAAATTTCGGTGACAATTGGCGAATGCTTAACAAAATTTTACGTAAAAACGCAACTGTTCACATGCACGATATTTGCACATGCTTTTCACCAATTTGATGCATGATCCTCGTACAATTCATCTGCATAAGGTTTACAGTTGGTTACCCCCAAGTTAGTGGAGAAATCAATCTTCGATGTAACCATACATATATGCATAACATATAGTGAGTGTTTTCAGTGAGTCAAGATGGGAAGTATAATAAGATCAAAAGTTTGAACTGAATTCTTATCATCACTGAAATCTTCATCACATGATCCATTGGGCAAATGTTCATAAAAGTGGCGAGCATAGATACTTCATTATCTATCTTCAAACACTCAGAACCATATTTTCAGAAATGAAAGCAAGTGTGTTGTGAAGTTGTGAAATGCTAGGTGTTAAGTGAGACCGCCTCATGAGCTTCTTAATTAGATCTAGGCAGATTCAGAGTGGCAAAAGTCTCCCCACAGAGCTGTGTGGCACGGGGAATATCTTCAACAGCTTCAGAGTACTGATGTTAATATTTCACACAGTTTGATGTACAATCCAGCATGGTCTTTTAACCAAGGGTTTCTGAGAAATTGTTTGATCAAGGTTGAAACAGCCATGTCAGGTTTTCTGATGTACATATGGAGGGGATTTCAATAACACACCTGTGACCAAAATGAGCATTAGCTCATGATTAACTTAGTGTTCAGATCATTTTGAGGAAAGGTTTCTGTCGCTTACCATTCTCTCGCTGTTTTTTGTTCATTTTCAATCGTTAGTTTTTACAACAGCGAACAATTAACCTTCTGACAAGGGATTTTCAAATATCTAAAAATACCACCTAATGTACTTCCTTCAGATTCCTCCATACTCCTGCTTATTGCAGTTCTTCGATTTGTGATATATAGTGTCTACAACAGTCACCCTTTTTCTGAATGTGTTTCGGTTTTTAATTCAAACATTTTAATATATTTTCTTTACAGTTTACGGCTTCAAGTATAACTTTTGACAATATGCAAAACGACTTGTTCTATTTTGTTCATTGCGTTTTAGCTTTAAACAACAAGAACGCCCAACTGTAATACACTTGCATCTAGCCTATTCATAAAATGCACATTTATTCGGGTATAGAAAGATTGTAAATAATGTGTTCAATTAAGAATATTGCTCTCTTTGCTTTAAATAATAAGAACGCCAAACCGTAATACAGGATCAGATTCGTTATTATTTTCAAAATCGCATATTTACATTTATGATATGACATAGAATCGGCAATGGGGTTTTCTTTACAAATTATATACAATGCTTTAACAATCTTATGGAAGAAAATTCGTGTGTTGTGTCACACATTATAAGTTGTAGTAGGTCATAAGATAGCGAAACAAACCTACGTTGATGCCTATGGCCGTTCGTGTTATGGACCTTTCTATCGCCTAACCCTCGTTAAATACCATTACATAGTGACATCGATCTATTTATGGTCATATTCCCGGATAATAAAAGTGACGTCATGACAGGCCTTCACCTTACTATTGGTTGATTATTTATAGATAATAGGGAAGTTTTTAGGTTTCTTTTTCCGAGAAAAGGTATGGTTATGTGGGTTGATATCAGACTCACGCGAAACAGGATGCGTGTAAGGCTGTTGTGAATTTAGCACACTTTCTAAAATGGCATTGTGTATTGCATAGCTTTCTGCCGTGGGAGCCGTGCCAATTAACACGTATCAGAGGGGTACACAAAGTCCGCAGTCTAGACTACCAGTTGTCCGACTTCCATTGTTTGTGGAAGCCGCGGTGGCTGAGCGGTCTAGGCGTCTGACTTTGTGTGTTGGCGATTAGGTGCCTGAATCTGAGAGTGTGGGTTTGAATCTCGGATGGGACTCAACCCAAAAAGTACTAGAATCTGTGCTTTACTAAGAAAGTGTAATCCCAAATATAACATATCTTACATTTGACCACTTTTTAAAATGACATTGTGTATTTCAAAGGTGGAAGTGGGTTTCCATCAAGGTGAAACCTTCGTCGCACTAAGATAACACAAATTGAATACTTTTGAAGATAGAGAGAGTTGTTTGCTATAGAGGTTCACCGAGGATTTAAACGAATAAGAAATATTACAAAGTAACGTTAGTACACTCCTTCAGACATTTTTGCTGACCATTTTATGTGCGTGCTCCCAGCAGAATCTCTTTCTGTGGACTTTTTGTAGCGTTAATTCCTTCTGTTAGTTATCATGACAATTTGGGACGTAACTGCCAAAGAGTTCGCTACTTTAATATTATGGGAAGAAACATAAAACAAGGTTATTTTGGAAAGTGGGATCTCTGGGCGCGCGCGCATGTGTGTGTGTGTGTCTGTGTGTGTGTGTGTGTGCGTGCGCGCAGGAATGAGTTCAAACTTCAGTCAGTATATGGCATGTCATTGATTTATCACAAATCCTTTGAAGGGATATTATTAAAATATATCACAGCATTACCATTATCATTTTGCATCGAGATATGACATACATTTACTACATATAAACGGTACTCACGACGCAGTACTATACAGGTTTTTGTTTGTAGTTGAATATTAATGATGACGGTGTAGATGGTGCTTTTACTTCAGACATTAAAAGCACACATTTGATTTTGTGGTTCAAATACTGTGTTTATTACATTAATAGGACATGTAATGACCGAGTGCTAAATGTACTATTTATGATCAGGTGAGAAAAAAAGACTGGGGACCAAAGCCAGGTCAGTTTATTAAAGCATTAGCAACATTTACATGAACAGTGAATAGTACATGATCTCCAGTCGAGATGAGTCAACAAATATACTATTTCGGAAGACATTTCTTCAGATTCAGTATTTTCTTCCTTTCAAAGGATTCGCCAATCCTGAAATCTATAAGTTCACCATCTGTGAGCTGAAACAATAGATCCCCATCAATACGATGTTCCTGGAATAGTGGGGTGTGTTTTGCTAGGTTCTTCTCTCGCAGAAGACCAACAATGTCTTCTTCAGTGACGTCAGAAAGCTCTGAAAATGTATCCACATGTGTAAATTTATTTCCTAATTGAGACCATATTAACCAACACAATGTTTGCTTACGTCGAAGTTTTATTGTTGGTGTCAAGGTTTGTTTCGATAGTTTTATTAATCTGCATGTACATATACATGATCTTTTTTTAGTTTCAATATAAAAGTGTGCATAATTTGCGATTGTAAAACGTTCGAGTCTTTAGTATGATACACACATAGTTCATAATCAGTTGGCACCTAATGCAGTATTGATCATGGAAGAAAAAAATATATAGAATTGATTTTTTCTAGACAAAGTGGAATATAGTTCCACGTCGACTATTGACAAATATATGCCAAGGAATCAACCTAAATGCTTGACAGTCACCCCTGAACTTCCGCTCACATTATTGTGAAATGTCTTTTCAGCTGAAAGAATATTGGGTGTTTTACAAACAAAGCAAATACAGCCACGAAACACATTTTTAATGTTTGCTACAATTATTGAAATGATGTAAAAAAAAATTTCAGGCATGACAGATATGCATGGTGGACATTTTGTAAGACGTGATGTCTGTGCTGTTTCGTCACATACGTAGAAGTGAGTGAGTGAATTTTGTTTTACGCCGCGCCGCTTCGGCGTGACGAGCGAACGCTTTAACCACTAGGCTACGCCACCGCCTACATTACATACAAAATAGATCGCCTTTAACAAACAAAATAGTTACCATGGTGCTGTGGGGCATGATAGGTGTTGCCCATTCCCCCTTCAATCTGCCCCGCCACATAGCTGTTGGTGGCCTGCCCGCCAGTCATCCCGATTATACGCTGAGGTTCCCCCTTTTTCTCCATCTTGTATTTCCAACTGAAGAACAGAAGAACTCTTCTATAGTATCTACTACTACAATGTAACCAGCAGCAATTGACACACCTTCTGTTCACTGTACTATGATAATTACAAGACTGACATAACCTGGTATTCTTGTCTAGTGTGTTTGTTGACGATGTATTCCTATGACAACAATGGGAAAGTCCAGATCAGTGCTATTAATACATCGGAAAAAACCAATGACGTCATTCCCTGGGAATTCATAAAACCCCTGAAGCTTGAAGAACCAGGATGAACACGAGAATTATGTATGTTACACCAGAAATCAACCCTTAAGCGTTCACGTTTGAATATCTGTGTAATGCAAGCGTTAGATCTGATTCAGTTTACCTAGGTTAACTTATGGATACATACAAGCTGTATGTGTGTGTGTGTATGGGGGCTGTCAGTTAAACGGGACAAAGCAAGGGATTGAATGTCATCGCTGTGCTGAATGGCTGTGGTTAGGCTACCCATTACACACGCGGTTGGGTGGTGAACGGGTACGACTCGGGGTCTGCCTCTAGAACGCCTGACCTCAATTGAGCGTCCTGTATTGTGTATTGTTAACCCCCATTCCAATCTCGCCCCGTCATGCAACGTAAGTGTTCAGGATAGTCGATGTCAACCCTGTAAAAAGTTATCAAATCCACGCATGTGCTATGTCCTTTTCAGTTGTTTACAGTATGTATGCCTGTCCCCAACACGTCAAAGTTTACAGTCTACGTACGACATATAGAACTGTCTTTAGACGCCATTGTCACACGGGGTCAACGATACGTTGTGTGGATACTCACCTCAGGAGACCGCCGCAAAGGCTGATATGTATCTACAAAACACAATGACATTATCCTATCTGCTGTCTGGAAAATATACCAAGGGGTCAAAGACGTTTGATAACAACGAACACAACAACTGTGTTATAGGCAAACAGTGTTTATACCTCACAGACACACGACAGTCGAAGTTTTTGTGTACATCATAGCACAAATATGTGGTAAGGGACCGTTCGTAATTTATGGCTACAGTGGGTGATGATGATTTTAAGGGGCGTGGGGGGGATGTTCACACATTTTGTTCTAGGGAGGTAGGGTGGTCAGCAATTTTGTACATATACTAGCGGGGGTCCGCAATTTTGTACATAAACATATTACAATATCAGGCTTAAAAAATATAAGAAGGGGAAGGGGGGATTGATTTGGTACATGACATGCAGGGGAGTCACTTACTTTGTATATAAAGTTTAGGGGGGTAATTCACATTGTACATGATTCTCCTTTAAAAAATAGCATCACCCCTCTCCCTCCACCCCCAACCCCAACCCCACCCCCATCAGTTATGAACGGTCCCTAACTGAAGTTTCATTTAACCCTTTCCTACTGCGATTTCAGTCTTGAAACACGTGCCCCTGCATGTATATTAATAGCTAGACAAGCAGCTATATATAATAGTCATTTGTCAAGTAGGGCAATAGCCAACTAGCGTGGATGTCTGAGTGTACTTGAGTAAGGCGACACATATTGTCACAACAACGGAGCATGCCTGAGTTATACACAAGAGCTGTAGCATGCATTGAGTATACAGACCGACCAGTAGTGATCAAACAGTTTACTTCAACTCACATTCGGCTTAATCTAACCCCATGGTGTTTCCTGTATACTCCAGCTGATCTTTACGGCGAAATCACACGATCACCGCGCCTTACCGGGCTTTGAACTAGGTCAACCATCGAGTCCTTCGGCGTATACATTTGCCACCAGTGTATGTGTATATGTAAACTGCCGGCCAATAATAAATATATGATGTGAACTAGCTACCGTATTTGCATTATATTTTGAATTACAAAATTTAGATAAACAGCGATATGTGATGAAATGCACCGTTATGAGCATGCCTGCATAGGACACGTAATATCAAGTGTTTTACAGTGATATATCTCCGCTCTAGCGGGCACTTGGTATTCAGTTGCTTTGATCGCTGATCTAAAAAGAGGTCAGTGGATTTCATTCAGATCAACACTGAGTTTTGCAACGATGTAGTTTCATTCGTGTTAATGTGACTAAGCAACATGGCGCTAATGGGATGTCATAATGAAACATATTTGTTATAGATGCGGCGTGGCCAGTGGGACGGAATGAACCTAGTAATGAATATCCTGACTTGAGTCTATATGTTCAAGGAATATGTCAACTTTTCTACAATCAATATTTTCTTCCTGAGTCCCCTTTACATACAAAAGCAGACACCCAGGATAGTGCTTGGTCCAAATCAGATGAGAAAGAAAGGCAACACTAGAATAAACAAGGTAGATAATACCTCAGCATAAAGTACAAGGTTATTGCTATGGACAGTTCATGTGCAAATCCTGATGAGGTTCATATTCGAGGTAAGGTATTATGGACTCTAATAGGCAGGTTTTTTTTCAGTTTTATTACTGACTTAGACACTCATTCACACACAGTTTCACTCACATTCTCCTGTTAACATAACCATATTTAATATAGACACTTCTGAATATAAATTTAAGCAATCAAGAATTGGTGTACTCATTAAATCATGATCACTGAGCTTCGGCGTATCTACATTAGCATATCTACATCTCATGATACATGATAATGATATGAACTGTGGACGCTTTACATGCTTTGCAAATAATGGTAGTAGTGTTGTAGATTATGTGTTATGCTTAGAAAAAACATTTTTGTTGTTTGATAATTTTGATGTTATTTACAACGAGGTAGAAAGCACCCATATGCCCTTGGCCTATTCATTGAGACTGTCAAAGCCTCTTGGAGATGTAAACATTGCTCGGGGAGAACTGCAACCACGCTCAAGATATTCATGGAACCATAAGCAACAGGGATTATACTTAGACAATTGGAAACACCAAAGTACAACGCTTCTTTTGGATACCTTCAAACACCATATAAACTGTAATAACACTCATAACGCTTCTTTATGTTTTCAGGAAGTGATTCAACATTGTGCGTACCCGTTTAAGAGGCCGGGTAACGGTATTTCTACCCAGCCTGCTGTCAGTAGGGACAATAACAACAGCTGGTATGACAACGAGTGCCGTGCTGCACGTGCAGCAGCGAGACGATCACTTCGTGAACTACGTAACTCTAACACTGAAATGAACAGACATAAATACCGTGAATCATTTAAGTTATATCAGGAAACGTGTAAGCAGAAGTCAGCGAATGTGTTTAGACACTTTGTACAAACTTTGAATGATGCCTTAACCTCCAAAGACAGTAAACTGTTCTGGTCACATTTTAAGTCCTATAATTTCAAGCGTAATAGTATTTCACCCTCAGGCTGGACTGAACATTTTTATTCTTTATTTTAAGGAACGAACATGGCAGATTGTGAAAAAGAATTTTATGCTTCTGTGTTTGAATTTATCGATTCTATTGATGATGAACTCATGGACAGTACAGTTGATAATGACTATCTGGATAAGGACATTGCGTTTGAAGAAATCGTTACAGCTATAAATGATATGCAGCTAGGGAAATCCCCAGGGCTTAGTGGAATACCCCTGGAGTTTTACAAATATGCTCCACCTGAGTGTTATGAAATGCTAAGACTGTTGTTTAATTCAATTCTACAGACAGGTGTTTACCCTACGGAGTGGACGTTGGGAGTTATACTTCCTATATATAAGAAGGGTGATCCCAATGAGCCGGGATTACACTCCTTGAGGTGTCAGGAAAGATATTTTCTAAAATTATTTGCAATAGGTTAACACTTTGGGCCACTCAAGAAAATATTTTAGCTCCGGAGCAGGCTGGATTCAGAAAAGGTTTTCAAACTACAGATAATATTTTCATTTTAAATACTGTAATAAACAAATACTTGTCATTGTATAAGAGCAGACTATACTGTGCTTTTATAGATTTAAAATCTGCGTTTGACTCGGTTACACATACTGGTCTTTTGTACAAATTATGGATTGGTAATATTAAGGGTCGTATTTTCAAATTTATAAGAAATATGTATGCTAATATAAAATCTTGTGTCCTTGTTGGGAATGGTTGTACTGAGTTCTTTGATTGCAACTTTGGAGTCCGGCAAGGTTGTCAGTTGTCTCCCTTTTTGTTTTCGTTTTTTATAAATGATATGGCCGAGTTTTTAGGACAGGACAATCAATGGTCTATTAGTATCGGTATGCTGCAAGTGTTTATGCTTCTGTTCGCAGATGATATAGTGATGATGGATAGTACAGTTATAGGTCTTCAAAAGAGATTAGATAAGTTGTCAAATTATTGTGACAAGTGGCAGCTATTGGTTAATATAGACAAAAGTAAAGTCATTGTGTTCAGAAAAAAAGGAAGACTTAAGCTTTATGAAAAATTTTCTTTCAGTGGTCGAACCCTAGACATTGTCCCTACTTATAAATACCTCGGAGTGCATTTCGCAAGTTCTGGGTCGTGGTACGTTGCTCAGAAAACATTAGCTCTCCAAGCCACCAAGGTTATTCAGTGTTTGAAGTCTAAAGTAAATAACTACCGTAACTTACCAATTCATATGCTATGCCACATATTTGATGCCAAAATCATGCCAGTTCTTATCTATGGTTGCGAGGTGTGGGGTTTTCACTCAATACCCGATGTGGAAAGAGTTCATGATCGTTTCTGTAAGGACATGCTATTTTACATAGATCAGTACCAAATATTGTGGCACGTGGTGAACTAGGACGGCATTCAATTAAAGTCAATTGTTACATAAGGATTGTAAAGTTTTGGGTAAGACTGTTGTATCAAGAAGATAATGTTATTCTAAAGAAAGCATATTCTTACCAGTTGTCTCTAGCAAACAAGGGCTTGAGTTGTTGGGCATTAGAAGTCAAATCATTATTGTTTCACTATGGATTCGGGGAAGTGTGGATAAATCAGGATGTAGGCATTATAAACCATTTTATTTCGTGTTTCAAACAAAGATGTATAGATATCGATAAACAACGTTGGTTCTGAGCCCTCCGTAAGTATAATAAACTTACTCTGTACCGTTCTATAAAACATGACGCAAATTTTGAACTTTACCTCTCGTGTTTACCAGTGAAAGTTTACTGTATTGCCCTTTCATCACTCCGCTGCTCCAGTCATATATTATTAATTGAACAAGGTAGGAAACTAGGTTTAGCTAGGGAAGAAAGGTTATGTCCTTTGTGTGTGGTTAGAAATATTGAATCAGAATATCACTTTTGTTTAGTATGCCCATTTTATGATGGATTGAGACGAGCTATTATTCCTGCTTATTATCATACATTCCCTTCGGAAAACAAATTTAAACAGTTGATAGCAAGTAAAAATGTCCATGTGTTATCATTGCTTGCAAAGTATGTATTCTTAGCGTTCAAACTACGAGCACGTTTCCTGTCATTGCATGAATGATATATATATATGCGTATATGTGTATGTATGTATGTATATGTATGTATATATATATATGTATATGTGTGTATGTGTGTATATGTATGTGTCGCAGGCGCTTGGTGGTGTAATACACTGTATCTTCTGTATGTATAATGGGCCAGTGGCCCCCCATACTGTCAATAAACTCTCTCTCTCTCTATCTCATGATACAGCATCCACTTGGAAAAGAACATAGCTTGTTGACTTTTGATATAAGTAATATTTCTCTCAATGATGTGGCTGTTGTGGGCATAATGTTTAAAGTGATTGCAATTTAGGGTTGTCAGCATATACATTTCCTTTCGTGGAAGGGCAAATTTCAATTCTAATTCAATTTAGTATGAAACACGAGTTCTGATTGGTCAATGCTATAAATTTCCGACCGTATAACAGCATATTGAAAACCCTTTCACCAAAACCTTTAAATGTATCCCTACACAATTGGTGTAACGCTGTTTTCAGGGCATTATCATTTGCAGAAGCCCTAGATATGTTAACTCCCCTATTCCGCTAAAATAGATGGAACTTGTGTCGAAAAAGACAAAACAGTATCATAAATCTAATTGTAAGTTTACTTCAAACAACTCGCAACGGGCGGTTGACCCAACACTGTTTGATCATGTAACAAGATTATGGAGCGTGACGTCACCCGTTGTGACGTCATTTACAAACACACCTGATAATGGTCATTATTGTCAGATTAATCAGTGTGCGCATAATACACGTGTTTAAGTTTGAAAAGTGAACTACTTTTTCTGGCGAGGAGTGATATGATTAACCTTTGACCTAGAGGAACTTTGACCTGGTTTAAATATTGAATTTCTTTCACGAAAAAACAGCGTAAAAAGAGTTGAATTAGAATGGGGATAACTCGCCGATATAACTAAATTTGCGCCTATATAACCAACGGGATACGTCCCCAATTCGTCAAACACAGTACAGTTATCCCCTAAATAACAGATATGTTGGCACTTTTCATAAGCCAGGCTTAATGGTGATTGCCAGAAGCATTGAACTTTACATTCCCAAAATCAATTGGTTATTGATCCACCTTCACACTGATAAAATAAACATAAATTACTATCAGTTATGCTGATTTTATATAAAAAATGAGTTAGGCGTTAAAATCCAGTGAATAATTCTGAACTGAAACCATCTCAATTTAGTATCTAAAGTAGTCTTAAGTGATTTTACAAATATATTTCACCACTTTAATTTAGAACACATTCCTCCCACATATGTGTAAATGTAAGGTGAGTACCACATGCATGATATTAACACTTTGTACATTTCTTAACTGATAGCAGTTTCCTGACAACTGGATGATAATCCATCCAGAAGGGCAAAAGATGCGGGTTTACACATTTTCAACTTACCCTGGTATTTCTTTGTAGCCTGATTTATCCCTTGATAGGTTGACATCACGTTCTAAAGTGTATTCGAATTGTTCAAGTGACACGTAGTTTCCTTCAGGATTTATAAATAATTCAACATAATCTCTTTACTAATGGTGATGTATTTGCTGTAAGTGTCAGGTTCCGTTATAATGCCATCACATAATTCAGGCCTTTATTTTCCTTGAGAACTTATCAAAGGCAAATCCTTCCAAAGAATCCAACCTAAATACATTGTTGACTTTTGTAATGCTTTAGCTGGAAAAGCATTGCTAAATTTGCCAAAAACGACAAAAGTGAGGATTCATTTACGTCAAACAGTTTTCTTATCAAACGTAGCTTCAATGATTTTACACAGGAAACAACCTCAACCATACCAAGCCCAACCTGCTTCACAAGCTCACATACAAGAGTTAATCTTATCTGGTTTCCCAGTCAAAAACATTAAATAACATGACCAGGGTTAGGGAGTGTCAGAAAAAGATAATTTAATTTGTAAACGAGTAAAGCCTTGGTAATAGCAATTCCGACAAGGGGAGTAATGATTCTTTTCATCTGTCTGTTTACCGTATATAAAACACACCCACAACTGGAAGCCTACGTCATAACGGATGAACAAAAACTAATGGGGTGTTCGTTAATCTAAGTCATATTCTTGTGTATGGAAATATATAGCGACATCAAAATAGTGGCAGTTACATATACGTAGTGTTTACTGTGTTAGCAGATGTGTATAATATTAATGATCCATGAATGAACCACCCATCCGCTGACCGCCGCGAGGCGATAGTATAGTATGGGAGCGTATCAGTGTACTGTGAAACATTTACATCTTCTACGTAGACTATAGATACACCTGCGTCCTCAATAATCCCACCAACGAATATAGAGCTTTCACCTACGTGGAAGATACGATCATCTCCACACGTCCTATTCTCAACATGGTCCAATGATATTCGGTTGTGAAGTTGGACGCCAGGCCGAAACAGTTTAAACAAAACGTAAATGGTTGGCAGCATGTTTGTGGTATATTTCCAACTAAACCTTTCTGTATTTTCATTGTGAACATCAATAACATATCCGCATAAGTGCAATCAAGCTATTTCCGAATGAAATACATTTGAAAAACCCAAAATATTCCATGCCCACTGAGGTCATTATGTATGAATATCAATACCTAAAAAGTCGTTGGAATCACACCGACCTGATAAGATAAGAAGATCTATATAAACAGCTGTTAATGGACTTTGGTACCATTTACATGTTCAGCTGAACCTGCTGCTTTGGTTGTGAGGGAATTCTTTTACTATATTTTCTGCGTAGCCGGGATCGCCGTGCCTTGTATTGCTCAGCCAACTAAGGCAGACTTATTGATAACAGCTGAACTTTCATTGTATGATGTTCGCGACCTGCAGGTCCCCAAAACAAAGCATGCGTTCCCACCATTCCAATGGGACGAAGAGCAGGGCATATGGCCGAGTGACGTCAAGATGAATTTCCATGGTGACCCTGATTATGCGCTTTTCAGACAAATTTTCGGCATCTTCGACAATAATATGTTCGCGACAACATACATCACCGCATGTTTGGCTGAGGCGAGACGATCTTTGGACAAGCCGTGGTATAATAACACGGCTGATATGCTGACGAATGGTATCAATGCCATCAAACGTCATCATGATTTGAATGTGAACTATTCCAATTCTTTAATGACCTTCTGGCCTCAGACGTACAACGACGACACCAAGGCTTATAACAGCTACCCTGTGAACCTCAATGACTCTATCAAGTTGACAGAGAACTTGCCTCTAAATGCAACCTACGCTTTCCTCGAAAGACTTGGACTCAAGAATGTGGACGAAATCGTCCACGAGCTCATGAGTATAAGGTACATGTTTTATGTATAGAAAACAGCTTCTAATACTTCACTCATGTGTGATATATGCATCGCGTTGAGACGTAAATATTGTTCACCATTACATGTAAATGTCGGTCAGTAAATAATTCATTTCAGTATCTGTAAGTTGGAGTTTTAATCTGGATAGTCATATACCATTGTCCGATTACTGCTTTGCTGGAGGTTCCTCATCTGATACCCGTGGAGGTCCGGGTTAGAATATTGATCTTCAGTAACCCATGCTTGTCGTAAGAAGCGACTACCGGGATCGGATGGTCAGGCTCGCTGACTTGGTTGACACATGTAATCGGTTCCCAATTGCGCAGATCGATGCTCATGTTGTTTATCACTGGAGTGTCTGGTCCAAACTCGATTATTTACAGACCGCCGCTATATAGCTGGAATACTACTGAGTGCGGCGTAAAACTAAACTCACTCACTACTCATCTGAATTCAAATCTAAACTTATCAATCTGTTCAGTCTGTTTACAACCCGGATCAGTTGGACGTGGTTTTAGGACAAACTATTGGAAGAATGCTAAAGTTCTTGGTAGCAGTGTGTACATGTACAGAACATACCATCTCCGCATCAAACATAGGTGATGACCAGCAAACACTGAATCCACCTTAAGAATATTGTAATCTATTCATATCGTGAAAAAGAAAAAGTGTGTTAATAACAGTTTGTTCTTATGAATGTTTCAATCCTTCGAAAGAGGCGTCTACACGCTGGCGTTCCACATTCCTCCGGATTTCGATGACACATTCCTCAACATCGGCCTGGGTTCGATCCTTGCCGAAATGCCACAAGAGTATCCTGAGGCATTCAAGCTATGGTTGTCCCACAACACCAACCTCACCTCCGTGTTCGACGCTCTCAAGTACTACGCCTACAGGTAAGAGACTGGTGAAACTCAGTTACGGTAAAATGCATGATAAACATATGTATACGTGTATTGATAGTTAAACGCATTGTCATGCATGCTTGCCGCGACGCAAACTAAAATGTCCACTTGTAAATACGTATATTATCTAGTGATCAATATCTTATATACCCATTAATCCAAACTCAATAAATACTGAAATGAATTCTTATTCATTTCTGCAAAATATAATGTATTTCGGTGAAGATGTCAAGTTTTATATTGATTTTAGCAATATCTCTGACAAATGACAGCAACAAAATCGGCGGATTGTAAAATTGTAGAATTCTATCAAAGATAAAAATATTCATGACGGTAATCATTCTGCAAATTGGCTAGATCAGCGACAATATTATTTACTTATAGTCTAACCTGTAACTGTGTCAATGGACGGTCACTTTGACGTGTAGAAATACTTACTGATGTCTAAACCGAGGCTTGATCAATGCCTTCAAAATAGGGCTTATTCCAAACAGGTTCTATTCCAAACAGTGATTCTTATCGGAATCTAACAATCAGCTCGACCAAATCTCTTAAGATGGCTCTTTGGAATGCTCAATCCGCTCGAAATAAAACAATTGAAATTGCTGATACAATCACGGATGATAATTTAGACATTATTTTCATCACTGAATCATGGTTTTCGGAAAATGGTGACGAAGCCAAAATCGCAGAAATTACTCCCAGTTCTTATTCCTTTATTCAGAAATCTAGAGCAACTTGCGGCGGCGGCGTGGCAATAGTCCACAGAGATGCATTGACAGTTCAAGTTTTGAATCAGAATGAAGTATACAAATCCTTTGAACATTTGGATATTCTCATAACAAGTTTCTCAACCTCGCTCAGAGTAATCTGCCTTTACCGACCTCCTCCATCTCGGAAAAACAAACTAACTCTCAGTGACTTTCACGAGGATCTATCCACACTCTTTTCCAAATGTGACAAACTTAAAACCATGTTTATCGGTGACTTCAATATTAACATTGCTGAAAATTCAAAGTCAGAGGTAAACAAAGTCGTCCGACTCCTGAAACAACATTCACTCAGACAGCATATCACTGATCCAACCCATAAGTCAGGACATATACTTGACTGGATTGTCACCCCTGAGTCGGATACCTCAGTAAATGCAGTCACAGTGGAAGACAGACAGATGTCAGACCACTACTTCGTAAGAGTAGAAGTAAACATGGAACGTCCTCCAAATCAGACCAAGACAATAACCTGTCGAAACATCAAGGGCATGGACAGGGACGCATTCCAAACCGATTTGCGTAATGCAGTTGTCATCGATTCCTCTAACGTCAACATTTTGAGTGAACATTTCATAACTGGCCTTAAATCGGTTTTAGATAAACATGCACCATGCATAGAAAAGAATGTAATTTTAAGACCAAGAAGTCCCTGGTACAATGAAGAAGTCAAAAAAGTCCAAGTCAGAGCGACGCCAAACTGAAAGACGGTGGAGGAAGTCTGGTCTCGAAATCCACAGACAAATCTTCAAGCAAGCACGAAATAAAACAGCCTACCTGATGAAACAAGCCAAACGTAAATACTCAAAAAGACAAAATTAAAGAACATAGCGGAAACAGCAGAAATCTGCATACTTTCTTGAAGTCTCTCCAGGGAACTCATAAAATCACCAGATTGCCAGATCATCAACATGAAGCTGATCTAGCCAACAAGTTCAACATATTCTTCCTTGAGAAAATCAGTTCTATTCGAGAAAAGTTAACGAAATGTTCTACGGATTCATTGGAAACAAAACAATTCAATGGACATCATCTCTCATGCTTTGAACCATTCTCAGAATCAGCGGTTGAACTAATCATCAAATCTGCAAAGAAAACTACATGCCCTCTGGATCCACTGCCTTGTAAACTTCTCCTAGAAAACATGGATGTCTTGCTACCTGTCATCACCCAGATTGTCAATGTTAGCTTACAGTCTGGCATATTTCCAGAGGTTTTCAAAGAAGCAGTTGTCAGACCATCACTTAAGAAGGATAACCTTGATACTAATGTACTGAAAAATTTCCGACCTGTCTCCAACCTTAACTTCATCTCTAAGTTGATTGAAAGAGCAGTTTACATCAGACTGTCATCACACCTGACTCAGAATCGACTATTTGACAAGTTCCAATCCGCCTACCGGCCCAGACACAGCACAGAAACAGTTCTCCTGAGGGTGCTCAATGACCTCAGATGCTCAGTAGACAGTGGCAATGTTGGATCACTTGTATTGCTAGACTTGAGTGCAGCATTCGACACGATTGATCACAGCATCCTCCTCAAGCTTCTTGAACACCAAATGGGCATCACCAGTTTGGCATTGGGATGGTTTTCATCATATCTGACAGGACGCACTCAAAGAGTCTTGATAAAGCAGTCTTCATCCACAACAGCAGATCTCACATGTGGAGTTCCGCAGGGATCTGTTCTGGGGCCCATCCTCTTCCTCCTTTACATGACATCCTTGACCGACATTTCCGACAAGTATGACACTCCTCATCATTCGTTTGCTGACGATACTCAGCTGGTAGACTCTTTTGCTCTGGATCAGATTCAACATTCCCTAGAGAAGACAGCTATCTGCACGAAGTCCATCAAATCTTGGATGTCATCTATGATGCTCAAAATGAACGATGATAAGACAGAAGCTATGCTTGTCGGCAATAAACATCGTCTGAACAAAATCACGACTGAGAAAATCACAATAGCTGATGCAGAAATTACTCTAGCTTCATCCGTGAAAGATCTTGGAGTGTTCATAGACCAGGACCTATCACTTGATGCTCAGATCAACCATATTTCAAGAATCTGCTTCTTCCACCTGAGAGCTATCAGTAACATTCGTCATAATTTAACAACAGATGCAGCCCATACTCTCGTCAGGTCCCTCGTTCTATCTAGACTAGACTATTCAAACAGCATTCTGTTTGGACTCAGCTCTGCACACTTGACAAAACTCCCAGAAAGTCCAAAACGTTGCAGCCCGCATTGTATCCCTAACATCTAAAAGATCTCACATAACCCCTGTCCTAAAGTCTCTTCACTGGTTGCCCATCCAAGCCAGAATCGAATTCAAGATCTTGACCATTGTGTTCCAATGTCTACATGACCTAGCGCCTCAGTACCTCTCTGAACTCATCTCAGTGTACACACCGCCGCGACAGCTGAGATCACACCAACAGTTCCTCCTAACAACACCCCCTGTCAATCTCAAGAACTATGGTCACAGATCATTCAGCTATGCTGCTCCTTCACTGTGGAACAGTCTTCCCATAACCATCAAAACAGCAAAATCTCTTGACTTATTCAAATCTTCATTGAAGACCCATCTTTTCAGGAAATATTACGAATGACTTGCACAATTCCTGCAGTTGTTTTTTAGCTGTACACACGGGGCGCCTTGAGCATACACTAGTGTGTGGAAACGGCGCCATACAAATGGACATTATTATTATTATTAACCTAATCCTGTTTACTTTGCTCGAAGACCGTTTTCCGGAAACCAGCGTGTCAACACTATAGACCCCAGGAGCTACTACTTCCTCAGGGCGTGGTTAGAGCAGGAGAAGGCTGCCGGACGTGATGTCGCTCTTGTGCCAACGTGGGTGAGTATGTACCCATGGGACGTTCTCTCGCTTGATAACAACTGTCATCATTTTAGTGACTTGACACGTCACAGAACTGGCTCCTTGGTTTTTGGTAGGATTAAAACAAGGATCGGGGTCATCAATTTATCAACTGGCTGACTGAGTTTTGGTTTTACGCTGCTTTTAGCAATATTCCAGCAACATCACGGCAGGGGACACCAGAAAAGGGCTTCACATATAGTACCCATGTGGGGATTCGAACCCGGGTCTTCGACGTGACGAGCCAACGCTTTAACCACTTGGCTACCCCACCGCCCCTCAATTTATCAAAGCAATTGCTTTCTTGTATAGGCAACGGTGGACTGAAACTTGTGTTGGCATCCATATAAAATAGTGACTTTAGCAGTAGTAGGACGTCTCATATAGACACGAAACCACAAGCCATATTCAAACTGCAAATTAAATGTTGTTTAATGCGTCACCACAACCAGCGGTACAATATGATAATTTAGACGGTTATTTTTAGCTATTAATCAATGCTCAAGAAAACAATTCTGGTTGAAAATACTTGGCCTGCTATGTTACAGATTGCCACGCAGTATGCGAAATAGTCACTGACCCGCTAGCCCGTGGCTAGTAAAATTCCAGTTGGGGCCAGTAAATCTCTTGCCTGACTGGCTAGTGAATTTTCATGGGGTCATTTAGAAAATATGTCACTCTCTCCGACTTGTTAAGGTATAATATAGTTATAAATCATGAAAGTTTATGGCCTCATAAACATATGTTCATCATATTGGCAACTTAATGATATCAACCGTGTCTACATTCAAATATTGGGCTAGTGAAGTATTTTGTGGGCTTGTCCGACTGGCTAGCATAATTTGGAAACTATTTCGCACACTGTTGCCACGTACCTTATACAATATGATGATGCTGTATCTCATGCATCTAAATGTGGGCTTATCATAAATGTCGTTACCATATATTACGCAAAGTATAATGATCTACTGAAAGCTGTTTATCGATGTGAACCTGAGAAAGGCCAAAACATCACAATGTAAATAAAGTTCACGTACATTAATGATTGTACTGGGCAGGCATAACAATATGCAAGTAGGAGTACCCAATTTAATCTAAAACAGTGAATGATAGATATATGACTATTCAGTATGTACTAAATATAACAACGGATAGCATAAATATATGCCTCAACCAACGCATTTTGTTCAAATGGAAACATGTTTTCTTTGATAATACAGTCAATACAAATATTGCCCGAAGGTAGACTTCCCCATCGTAGCTTGAAATGTACACGACCAGGGAGATCGCTTCATATGTTTCATATTTAGATGTATCAGACTGTCAAATGCGCTCTACAAGGCCGTGGGACAAGGGTGAGGTGAGGTGAAATTGGATTTTACGTCGTACTTGAGAATATTTCGCTCATATGACGACGTGCATGCCTGTGTATGTGCGGCTGCTTGTACTAGCCCAGACTGAAGCTGGTTTTATAGTGCTATCCCACTGAGATACCATGCCGCAGTGAAGCATGAATACCCCACTTAGACACATTATACTGACTCCGAGCCGACCAGTGCTTGTTGTACCCATTAATGCCAAGCGCCAGGCAGGGACCAACAAGTACCATATTTTAACGTCTTTTTGGTATGACGCGGTCGGGTATCGAACCCGCGACCTTCCGCTCTCCGGGCGGACGCTCTAACCACTACACCACGGAGGCGGTCGTGGGACAAAGGGGTGAAGTTAACAATGTATACGTAATGGTGAACTTTCGGATTCCTCTATCAATACTCCACCAGCTTTATCCTTTAGCGTTTACGAATGTTCACAAAGTTTGAGGTACAATCATTATCCTTATGTCAAGCATCGCATGTCTCTTTTGTAACCGACAGGATCGCCCGTTCATTGCATAATAGTAATTCAGGCACATGCTCCTGAAGTAGTCGACACGTGAAGGTCCGGGTTAGAATTGGTCTTCAGTAACCCATGCTTGTCGTAAGAGGCGACTGACTGGATCGGGTGGTCAGGCTTGCTGGCTTGGTTGACACATGTCATCGTATCCCAATTGCATATATCGATGCTAATGCTGTTGTTCACTGGATTGTCTGGTCCAGACTCATTATTTACAGGCCGCCTTACAGCTGGAATATTGTTGAGTGCGGCGTAAAAATTAAACTCACGCACTCACTCCCGAAGTAGTCGGAACTGTACAATCTCCTCTACTTTCTACAGATATGTCTGTTGCACGTGGAAAGGATTTAGTCGCTTATATTTTATTATCATTTACGCAAAACATATCAGTGACTGAAAGTGTCTCCAACATTATATTTAAACAGTCATCACATTGTGACGGGAGAACCTCGAGGCTGACTTCCTACAATTCCCGTTTCTCACTGATAGGATATTTACAAACTGGGAGTACATCCATACATCCAGAACAAACAACTGTTGGTCAGGTGGTAAATGCATTCAGATATTTGAAAAGTATTTGACGATTCTGTTTCCTTCTTCAACAAGTAACGCAGTAGTTACGTCTATACCTGTACAGGTGCAGGACACTGACGAGGTACGCACCTGGTACGACAAGGGAGTCATGATGCCGTTCAACGTCAACAACATTGACGTCACTGTGTGTGCCAACTTCCTATTTGGCGTCACGAATGGAATCATTAATGGCCTCTTCGAACCATCGATATTAGATGACCCTGACATAATGGTAATGTGTTTTCAATGGTTGTGAAAAATTGATTCTTTTATTCTTACAGGACACACACCTCGCACGTCTGCAGCGTAACACGCCACACTGTATTGCAACTAGTTACATATACTATTGGATTAATGGACCAGTGCAAATGACGTGATTGTACAATGTATTTTTATTTCAGCCAATGTCCTTATGATTATGGAAAGGACATCATCGCATATATTTACGTATATCGCAATATGATGTTTCGTAGTATGACAATAACTTCCAACCTGACTGGGGAACAAATTCTAAATCATAAGTGCTCAAAATTATTCCCTTTACCCCAATTAGGAAGGTGGCCTTGAACCTCACCTCTAGAAATATTTCTGCTTGACAATTTAGCCTTGGCAATATCATGTCGCCTATCATATTGTCAATATTTTCAAAATACATGAAAATATATTTCCTACAGAATCTTATGTTGCAACAACCTGCATCCATGATTTGTGCCTACTGTGCCTTCACACGTACACACACGAGATACTTTGTGGTCACGATGACGAAGAAATGGTCGTTAACAAGTTTCAGATTCTAATTAAATGTACTCCCGATAGTATGTTCAGAGGAAACTTTTACATCCATCTTGACATGCTGTATCAACCAAGCATACAGAGTTCATTGCGAGAATTTCAGATATGAAATATTTAAGATATGTTACAAATGACCCTCGTTTGCATTTTTGTGGAATGGGGAATGTTTAACTCGTCCCTAGAGCGGCTCCTTGTATGTCGCTCGTCATTGAGTTATGAGGTTTAACATTGTGGAAGCGTTTAAGTAGTTTGTTCACACAAACGCCCTACTTTCTATTTCAGAACATCTACAACGACACCGCCAGGATGATCGCTTTCCAAGTCCAGACCAACTTCTCTGACCGAGCAGACCTGGCGTTGACGTACTACCCCTCTGTCATTGAGTTCTACTGGTTTGTGGCCAGGACGTACAACAAACTCCAGGAAACCCTGGACAGGACGGGATCTCTGCCTCATAAGGTGTTGTCAGTGGCTGTCAAAACGTTACTTAAGCCATTCACTTCCAAATCTCTGTATGCCTCACTGAAATAATAACAATCAAACGTGGTAAGCTTAAACGTTATATATCCTTGGTGCTCACTCTCATCCGTGAACTATTGTACTATTTGTTCGTGTATGGCATCTGAAATGGTAATAGTTGTATGGCATGGTTAAAGGTCACATGCAACCAAAAAATCAAACATAATTAAAACACAATTATCACTTATTCGTGACACATAATATACATTGCTGGTTATGAAAAAACATATAAACAAAATTATAAGCGTACAATCGCAAATCAAAAGTGCAATATTGTGTACTTCGGTTTACTTCCCAGGAAACGAAGCAGCCGGGATACCGAACCCAGTCAGAGCGGGTGGGTGTGCACTCAAGTGTAACGGCTGGGCCATTTGCGTATGCCCTCGCGGCTTATTGCGTGTGTATATATAGAGATGTTGGGTTTTGTAAATACATGCTCATTTTTTGTGTATAACATTTTGCAATCAACAGACATCATAACATGTCAAGTGTTCAACTATCACACCTGCCTGTCTGTGTAATCACATAATGTGACTGAGACCGAACTCGGGCCATAAATCAATGCATTTTGTTTATGGCGTATAGCCTGATTGGTGTTAAGTTCAAATTGCATGTGGTCAGTGATAGCAGCTGTGTATTGAATATTGTCATTAGCAGACAGGCAGACAGACACACAGGTGTCAATAAAACAAGACATTGAGTTTTGTCTGTGACAACGACATATCTATATCACAGTTAGAAATTGTGTCAACGCTAAATAATGACATTGCTTTTAAGTATCGAACTGAGAAAGTGACTCGGTAAGAAGAACGTGTGGTGAAATAGACAAATGAAATTATATAAACAGTTAAATCGGTAATCTACTGGTATAACATATAAACAGCTCGCGCCTGTGAGATATCAACAAAACATTAGAAAAATAGCTCACACCAAAGCCTTCACCGAGTATTCACCGGACAACCCGCTTCCAAGCTGCGCGAACTTATTTCACTGCGCACGTGCTATGAGCGCAGCCCAGCTGTTGAAACCCGTTTTCCCCAGAAAAGTCGGAGGAAAATTAGTGAAACGTTTGAACTCCGATTTCGCGCGGTTTATTTCATCGCGTTATTTTTCAACTTTGTAAGTTGAATTTGCATTTTTGACGATTTGTTTCGGTAAGTCCATACCGAAAGGTATCAGAATCTGCAAAGTTGTGTTTTACGTTGCATGTGACCTTTAAGATAAAAGTTCGGTACCTAACTGATGATCAGAACATGTTTAGGATATGTATATATATATGTGCGTGTGTGTGCGTGTGTGTGCGTGCGTGTGCGTGCGTGTGTGTGTGCGTGCGTGTGTGTGTGTGTGTGTGTGTGTGTGTGTGCGTGCGTTTGTTACATACTTTATTGATATCCAAGTGAATACAGGAAGAGCAATCGCCACATCCACTTCTTCAACTAAATTGTGTATTACGTTGCAGGGCATGAACCAGGTTCTGGCGGACTTTAAGGACGTGTTGAGAAGGTACGGAAGTCCCCGGCTCCTAGCCCTGGGAACACCGTCCTCGATGTATAACCTATCCACTCTATACTTCGACGACTTCCTCGGTGATGCGGATACAGACTACGACAACAAACCTGACGTACGTTTTGGTCATATGTGGGAACATTTGTTGCGATTGGCGGTGTTATGACTCTGACGTCATTTACATAACCGTTTGTTCTCAAGAAGACTTTGTGGAACATCTCCATCGTAATTCCTCTCTTGGTATAGAAACACAGTTTTATTTGAAGGCATCATGATCCTGGTAAACAGGAAATATGGGAATTCTAATCTCACACTAACTTTCCTGGTGACACTAACGTTAGTGTGCCAAAGTCCCTATCACCTTGGAACAAACAACATAGAGTCATGACCACAGCACTGGCACGACTTGAGGAGCACTGGCTTGGTGCCTCCATTCTTTGGTAATTGATTAATCTTCACTGTACCATTTATTATTTTCTTTCTTTATGAAACTTTATCCCACAATGAATTTATTTTGAGAGTACGATAGAGGGTTTGTATTTAGGCTTGGGAAGAGCAAACATACGTTTTTGACCCATAGGGATTAATGTTGTGTAAACAAACAGATTTTAAAACAGTTTGTTGACTGCTAACCCTACAGTAAATCTCCTTTGTCGATGCATACTATCTATCATACTGTTTTCATGTTACAATTGAGAATTTATATTGATGTTGGCGAAGGGAAAGCATACGTTGAGAGAGAAACTGAGAACTTGATTGCTAACCTCATCCCTTTTGGCTGAAACCCATGCATCATGTTGTATAATATTTGATATACTGTAGCCAGATCCTGAAGATCGTATATTCACCACGTCGATGGCCTTGACAGCTCTGCTGACCATCTGGACGACGCAAGACCAGCACACAGGGAACATGATCTGGGATCCAGGTAGAGCTTGATATGTCACATGAGGGACTCATGAGATGGTTTGGCCGCCATTGCGATCAATTCAAAAATAGCACAGTATTTAACATTGTCATCCATTGTCATCCATTGTCACTTACATGAGAATAACGCGTAAATATGATCTTGGCATGACACGGCAAAACAGTTCCTACGTTAGGCTTTAGAGTGATACACTTATTGAATATTTGGCATTCAAACTTTAGAACGCTTGTCGTAATATTATTGACCAACGGATGCTAAAGTTTGTTTTAAACAGTCAATAGAACACTCGAGACTTCAAATGTTGGTTCATGTACAGACACTGGAACACGGACCATCATACTATCGTCGCTTCCATGTCTATGTCCCAGATACTCCTGTGGATGTCAAGAGGGCTGCCAACCTGACGGTCACGTGGATGTACTACAACATCAACGGGATGCAACCTCTGTTGCCATGGAACGCTGTATTCTCGGGATCATTCAAAGGCTCTACAGTCAGTAAACAATTTGGTATTTTTTACAGCTGCGGCCTCACCATATGTCAATCTGTATTTCTTATTTCGTTTGGTGGCAGGCATCAAGTAACTGCGCACACAAAGTGGCCATTAGAATTGTTATTGGATCTGACATTTATAACACTTTCTAAAGAATGGGACACTTCAAGGTATCAAAAATTACAGTCGATACCTCTCAGGGGGCGCTTGGGATCTGCAGATTTGTTTATACAGACTAGTTTTACTAATGAGACAAAAGCTACTTTATAGATACACTTTTGAATCAAATAATTACTAAAAGGTTTAAGTATTGGGTGTGAAACCAACATGAAAATATGATGTAATTTACACTGTATTTCAAAATTAACTACTTTCAAAGCTCAGTTCAAATCGATACAAAGTCATCACTGTGGCCGTACAGAATCAAAGATAATATAATACAAGAGCAGTGATTGTAGAAATACAGATATAATCAACTTGCAACCAGGCCAAGGTAGGGTTGGATCATCACACACTATGTCCTGTGTTCTGGTGACTTGCGATGAAGTGTAAGTTGAGAGGCAGGAGTTAATTCCCTTTATATACCGGACAAAGTTATGCTATCAATTTCCACGCTAAGGCAGACAGTTCAGGAATAAGCTTATTACAGCTCCTTCCTGATCATTCTCTCTAAATCGAGAACATGTTTAAATACAGCCCATAACTGCCCCTTACTGAATCAGTAACGATGTATAGCGATGTAAATCCACATATTGTATTGGTATTGTCTTGCCTTTGTCTTCCGCAAATCATTTAACCATGTATCCCTACCATGTTCAAGTGATCGGATAGTATAACGGTGAACACGTTTCTGCCTTCATTCCAGACATTGGTTGAAAGTCTGAAGCTCACTTCCGGTGTGCTGCAGCGATATTGATGGAACATTGCTGGTTTAAAACCGAGTCCTCACCATTCAACCTGCATCATTTTGTCTTTTATCCCGAAAACTGCAAGTGAGATGCGTTCCGTTAATCAATCATCTGTATAGTCGATGCCTTGGGATAGTTTAAGTAAAAGCCTGAATGTCTCTTTGTTTACGTTTCACTAAAAAACGCACAAGGTAATTAACGTTTGCCCGTAAATAATCGAGTCCACGAAGTTTATCGATGTTAAGTTATTTCAATATATGAATCCGAATTGATTTGCTTAATGGATGGATAAACACGCACCTATATGTATGCACACTATCTGGGGGATTACGATAAAATGAATGTATAATGTGTAACACTCACCAGTACAACACTCTTTTGAGGATTATGGTGTAACGATCAACATATCCCTTTCCACAGTCATACAATACATCTGCTTACAGCACTGTTTACTGTGCGATGACGACTATATAACCTGTCTTAATGAACCAGTGATGATGGCGGGTGTTCACCATACTGTGACCATATCCTGCTCCAACGTTAGCCGCCTACCTCAAATAGTCATGCGTTTCGTACAGGAAATTTGGGGAATATCACCTGACCTTCATTGAAACTGATGAAACGCTTTTATTATTATCAACGTTGCTTGGAGTGAATGAGTATTCCTTACAGAATAATTGTCATTGTTAAAGAGAAGACTTTGCACTTCATTTGATTAAGATAGATACATTATGTTTACAACAGAGAGTGTTCCGAGTTTGACAGGTATAGAATTATTAATAATTTATTTACGAATGAATACCCTTTCGTAAATGGCCATTTCACGGAAGCCATTTTCTACCGCCTAGGGTTTCTCACAATGGGTGTAGTTATTGTCAAATAGTCTTTAGTGCAGAGTATGATTACACATGTTTGTACATGGTTGGTTTAATGTTGGAGATAAGACCAGGCAGATGATGCGTTTAATTTCTTCTGGGACTTCTGTTGGGATATTTGAGCCGATGTTACATTAGGTTTTGGAACTGTGGCGAATCATGGATAGATTACCACTGAAACATTATGCTATATTCCATGACAGATTATAAGCAATGTGAATCAATTCATGTCAGTGTAACGAGAGAATGAGGTGAAAGGAAAGGTTCTCAACAGAACAAAAGTGTCAGAATGAGGAATATAAGTCGACACAGTGAAACGATCGTGACACAAGTAAAGAGATCATAGTCAACTGTGGATTCAGATGACCAAGCAAAAATCAAAGGACTTTACACAAGTT